TGAATTGATGGAAAATGCACTTGTGACCAAGAAATCAAGAACTTGTCCAATTAGGTCAAATTTCTTCAATCAACCCTTATATCTTTGAACTATCTTTGACAACTTGAGGCATAATAGACTTTGTCATGATATTACTTCAAAATATCTTCAATGACGAGGCTTGAATCTCAATGAAGCTTTGTTGAAGAAGGCATGGAAATAAACTCATGAACCTATAGATCAACTTGATGGAATGTGTTGTGTTTCACCTATAATATCATCAATTAGGGCAAACATTCATTGTATTTATTAGTTAAAAGTTAATCAATACAAAACATAGATGATCACAATATACAAGTCAAGGTGTTTGGTGATTCCCCATGAGCAAAGCTAAAGATAAGGAGAAAAACCAAACCCTAGTGTGGTCTTGTTGTGATTGGGTTGATATGAGATGATAGAGGGATCTTAGGGATAAAAATTGGTGTACAGCACATTGCATCCATATCTTCTTCTCATATCATTTCTTCTCGAACAGTTATGATTTACATTCGTTGCGGTAGAAGGACAGTAAGACGAATTGCACAAACACAACTTAATAAAGGAATGACGTTCTTTACTTGTTCAATCAACAAGATTATTTAAATATAAAGTTTGTAATTTCTCAGAATTTTTTCTTACTTCTCATAACATTATTTCTGTTGGTGCTGGAATTATTTCTTTACTTGTTCAATCAACATGGTTATTTAAATATGAACTCATAGTTTTTTCGTACTTGTCATTATTATTTCTACAGGATGAATATGGTTATTGTGGATACTTTGTCTGGGTTGATAAATTGATGGAATTTCTAACAAATTTAAACGATGAATCTTTTGAAACTCGTCCCAATAAATATGGGAAGGAAATGGATCTCCAAGTACATGAGGAGGACGTTTAGAGATATGGAATGCAAAACAAAATGATTTTTCTTGAAAAGGAGCTGAAGAAAATTAAGAATTTAACCATAATTATTTTTGTCATACATATTTTTTTTTAAATTTGATACTGAACCATCATGTAACTTCCTGTTTCACCCTTTTGTACATGGTGGAGGCTTAATATATCTTATATGTATTTATTAATCAACTTATTTTGTTATTCAAAAAGAAAACATGTAAAATATTCACATCCATACTACTCTACTCAATTTGATGGTATAAATGAGACTCATTCAACATATTATATTTCTTCACACTTATATTATATTTCTTCACACTTTTAAATTATTTAAGCAACTAAATTATATTTTCCAAATATCAACACCACTCATTTAAAATTCTAAAGTGGTCCTATTAATCTTAAAATCTTTTCACTTTATTATTGGTCAGAAGAGAAGAAAAAAAATCTTTAATACATCTCACAAATGAATTAGATACAATTTTTTATTACAAAAAATAAAAACACCATTTTTTACTGCAACAATTTTCAAAAGTTAATAATCAAATATCCATATGATTATGACATGATGGTATTAGTTTAAGTGTAGACACTCTCAATAATAATCGATATTCATGATAAGTTCATTTTCCTATGATGGACAAAAACTAACTTAACCATGCTAAATGTCACCCCAGTTGAGAGTGGAAAAAAGGCACACAAAAAAAACTTTATTGTTGCCATAAGAGTTATATAAAAACAAATCAGAGAAAAATTCTGGATGTTAAAACAAAATATCCCACCTAACTTCTATTTCAATTTTATTTTCTATTTTAATCTAATAACATAAAAAATAAAAAAAAATTGTTATTAACACGCTTTCTAGTTACCCGCAGCTTTTAACACATTCAAATTTTTGTTAAATTTTATATTATTTACATTAGGCTCTTTTTTTAATTACCCACAATTTTTTGTTAAACTATGAGTTACCTAACTGAAAACTTTATTGTTAAATTAATGATGCAAATAGCTAAGTTTTCAAATTATTAATTAAAATAATCAGGTTTTGAAGGTGGTGTCTATCCCCAATTTCTATATGTATGTGTTTTTCTAGTGTTTTTCTAAGTGGCGCCTATGCACATGGAAAAAGTAATGCGTCATCCTCGTAGTGACACAAAAATACACATAGACAACATCTTGAGTGATACATTATTTTTTTCCTTGTACATGGGCGTCATTTGAAATAGTATGTACATAAAAAAAATTGTGCATATGAGCCACACCGAATAGCACATACACTCTAGTCTTTTTTTTTAAATCTGATTATTTAAATAAATAATTTAAATTTTTAATTATTTGAATAATTAATTTGATATTTCATGGCTTATAGCTGAAAACTATAACAAAATTTAAATGATTAAAACTGAAGTGTATGTGATTGATATAAAATTATATAAAATCATCTATTCATTTGTTTTTTTATGAATTATACATATGAACATTTTCAAACTATCTTTAAAATAATATTAAATATTTCACATTACACCAGCAACATTGTCTACTCAAAATCTTAAATGGTTTACATTATGGTTTCTGTTTGAGAAGTTCATATTTTAAATTTATAATATAATGTTGCATGTTTTTCAAAAAACTATTTAATAATTGTCATTTTATCAAAAATTGAAGTGTATGTGATTGTTATAAGATTATATAAAATCATCTACTCATTTGTTTTTTGTTTTTTCAAACAGCAGAGATTATCATATTTTCTCTCAATTTTACTTTTGTCATCTATATAAGGAAAAAAGTCATATATTAGTTAAATTTGTTTTCTTAAGTCACTTTACATTTAAGTTAGTAGTTGATCTACGGATAAAAGGGTAGAACTACGGATATTTCAACCAATAAGAAAGTGAATACTTAAAAGAGTATTCAAAATAGAGTGTTTATCACAAATTTCAAAATAATTTTGAATTTTTCAAATAATCTGATAAATCAATTTCAAAAAAAATATACATATTTTTTCTTATCAAAAATTTCGAAATTTCTAATATAATATCAAAATTTTCAATATATTTCAAAATTTCTAATTATAAAAAAATGTCGAAAATTTTGTTTTTTTCCCACTCCAAATTTATTTCATGGACAATTTGAGAATTTAAAAAAAAATATGAAAGTGTCTTCTGATGCATATGGGATAAGTTAATGGGTCATGTCATGTTTACTTGTTCCCTTTAAAGTACAAGTTAAAAAACTCGTTAATAGAAAAATTATGTTGAAAAATATTATTTTTTAATTAATTATAAACTTTTGATAAAATTAATGTCAATTTCGGAAAGTAAAATGGTAGTTACTCGTCATTTTTATCCAAACAGGATTTTATATTGTTTAGAAAATATTTCATTGTACTTGCAAGCAATAATGCAGTGTTGCGTGACTCGATCGTGGGTTGTTGGGACAGGTGAGTGTTATGCTGATATATAAAGCCGGCTGTGTTCCTTGTGTCATGTGTATGGATATAGTTGTACAACTTAATTTCTCTCAAGGTGTAAAAGCATTCGAAAATATTGCAGATATATAATTTAGAGAAATTTATGCGGATGCGGGGCGGTTTTGGTCTTTGAGTAGGCGGTTATTTTATGAGTGATGATATTTACAGGAAGGGAATAAGATTGGCAGATAAACAAGTCACTACCAGGAAGAAATAAGTTTCAAACACTAAATATCAATATCAAAATAAGTAACAATCATCACAAAACAAAATTAAATATTTGGCAGACTATTTTGGGCGTGTCATCTCTTCTTTCTGTCTATTTTCTTTCTCTACAAAATGAATGAATAACCATAAGCTGACAACAAAAAGAAAATGACACAAACTTCTATCTCACAAGGAAAATTACAGGGAAAATTTTGTTTCTCTACTTTTTTCCCTCTATCGAGGATTGGACACATGAAGCCACGTTTTAGTTCAATCATTATGGTAGAGTTCATCTAATTGACACATTCAAGGTTGAACCAACATTCTCTTAGAATCTTCCCTCTTTAGGGCTCACTACCAACTAGCCATGTCAAGAATCCACGCACCCTAAAGCCTATATTCAACCCATTCCCGGAGCAGAAAGAAACGGTCCTTACTTATGAGACAGATAACAAGTCTGAAAAAACCATGCTTATCTAGCAAGTAAAGTATCTGTCAAAAGGGAATCAATATAAGTATAATGAGTATATATTATGATTTTCATATAACTATCACCTTATTATAAATATATTGAAAATTCAAACCAAAAATCAAACACAGACCGAAACCATAACCGGGCCATCAAGTCACCAAAACAGAAAGTTTAAGGATCTGTTTGTGAGGAGAGGGTTTAAAAAGATTTATATTTTAATATAACTTCAAGATTTTTAAAAAAATTGAATGAATGCATTTTTAAAAGAATATGAATAATATGTAGATATAACAATTGAATCAAGCTTCATGCATTTTTAAAAACATTTTATAGCATGCTTAATTTCAGTGTTATTAACAAAGGGTCACAAAAATTAGAGGATAGTGTAGCAGGTAAATGGCGGAAGGCACAACAAGGTTGAAATATAAATAATTGTATATAAAATAAAACATAAAGCTGCGCAAACATAAAATAAAATATTAATGGTCAAAATAGAGGCTTCATTGGTTTAAGTATTATATATAATACCCCCACTAACCCACTCAGACTTCAGGCTTTGCACTTTTTCTTCATTAGTTTAATGTTCAAAAATTATAAAAATTTTGTTTTAAAAAGTTTGGCCACCGCTAAAACATACAAATTCCGCTATTCATTACGTATGTAATTGATATATCAAAATGTGCTGCTATATATACTGCAAATAGCGGAGTTGACATATTTTATCGGCTACCCCGAATTCCAATATATAATATGGTATAGCGGCGCTATACCGTTTTTTTTAATAACACTGCTTAATTTAGAAAAGAAAATTAAGACCTCCCCTCACCTCTTAAATGATTAAATCCTCCTCCCAAACACACCCTAAAGAAATTTACTACAATTTTCTAGTCAAACATGCAACAAGGGGTTCATATTATTACAATTCATACCTAAATATTATGAGTGATGCACTTGTCGGGATATCTGTAGCATCCAATCAGCATACCCACTATTACCACCCATCTGGTCCTCAACAAGGTTTGCAAGAAGAAGGAATCCTTCTTTGGGTTGTTCACCTTGCCTCACAAGATGGCACAACTGGTAATATCCACGGTCATCATTTCTTAACTTTTCAAGTACCCTCATCAGCCTCCTTGACATTTCATTATTATGCTCATTGAGAGTAGCCTGTTAAAAGAAACAAAATATACACACAACACCGGGTGAATTTCAGTTTTTGTTCAACTAGACAAATAAAGGAGGAACACACACACATGTCTATTCTGATACATCTTGACAAAATTGACCATAGAAGAAGTTATTCTATGGGTTGAGAATAATATTGATACCATTAGAAATAAAAGCCGCAGAATCTTGTGATGAGATGAATGTCACCAAAACTCACCATTGAATTTAAGTTATTAATCATGAAGATGAAGCTCATGGATTTTGATGTTAATTGTATGACTATCTTATACCTGATCTAAATTGTTATCTGTTTTTCTCCACTCGAAATTTGACACCACCATAAATGACTGTCAATTTAAATGTGTACTAACTGAATTTGGGGTTGATGAAAGTTGTGAAAGATTCTTCTCTATTACAATATTGTCAGTTCAAATGATTTTTTCTTCTCTATCACTTTCTTAACTGTTGTTCATCCAACAATTTGAGAACAAAGAAGAGTTTAAGAGGTAATTGAGAAGACAAATGTTGAACAGTGTGCAAGTCACAATTGAAATGGTTTTAGTTTTTCCTTTTTGATTAAAATTATTTTAATATGGCATGGTAAGAATGTGAACTCCTATTACATGTGAATATATAATTGTTTTCCACTTACTGTATACGTAAGTTAAACTCCGCCATATAATATTATTATGAACTCAACTAAGAAAAACAAGGTCTGCCTCTCTCCTTCTCTGCCTAGACAAATAACCTACTATGAACTTAAGTTTGTACAGAACGAATATACAATACCTTTGATAATTCTGCCGCAAAATCTGCCCCGAGTAAATTCTTTGCTATATCAGGTGAAATCATCCTACCAAACCATATAATAAACCGGAAGCCATCATCATATAAATAAAGGCCCCTAGAGTCTAAGCTCTCCCCAGCCAAAGGTAACCTTCTCTCAATGCTTTTTAAGTCATCAGCTTGTACAGATGGCTGGAATATACAAAAATAAATCAGACGGTTTAACCCTTTAATTGGTAAATCATCAAGGGTGGGTAACGCATACCTTTAGAAGATATTCATCCAGTCGAATCAAGCTAGGATAGAGAAGTTTCAACAATCGTTTTATTGGTAGAATCATGATTGTATGTCCTGCTGCACATCGATCATCCAGTGGAACATCACCAAACCCTCCTCGTAGAGCCATTGATCTACAAAGAGCTAATCCATACAACATTAGGAACTTTAAAGACTCGGGATATATCATTCTGTTGGCCAAGCGATGTTGCACAGCATAAAGATTTCGATACTCCTTGAGGGCTTTCACAATTCTTAGTTGCACAGCACTCCGTGCATCTTCCAGTTTTTGGGACAATGTTTTCTCATTAGCTGCAAATATGAAGGAAGTGTATAAGATTAAAAAACAACCAGATCTACCCGCATAATGATATGTCCCTAGAACATAAGTCCCGAAGTCCTGTTTATCCTACCTAGCCTAGAAAATAGAGAGACAAGTGCACCAGTATCAGCCAGGCGATATAAATCCGCCAAGTCTGTAACTACAGGCACTGCCATTGTGTGTACTCTGATACGCCTTTCTCCACAGGATGCAGTGTAACTATTTTGTTGTTAGGGATGCATACAATTTAAGAAAATTACATGCTAAACATCTTTAACTTATTGAATTCAACTGAATATCAAGCACAGACATTCAAACAATCATTTAAGGGTCAAAGAGAAAGTACAACCAAAGTATAATAAAGATGAGCTGGATGTATTATTAACAAAAAGAAATGAGCTGACTGGCCTACAAGAAACACTAAAAATAAATAAGGCCATTTTATAAAAGAAATAAAAAATGAACTTTTCAAGAATGATTCAAAACTACAAACTAATTTGGACAACAAATCTGACTCCCTAAGAATTACTGTGTTTTCCTTTTTGCATAGTAGTATCATTAAAAAAATTGACGAAACTTTATCATAAACAATAAAGCGCGTGTAGATATTAGAATCCATCTTAAGAATTATTGAAGAAAGGATACAGTAATGCAACTTGAAAATAAATAGTCTGAGTTGTCAATAATGTCTCTTCGAGTGATAACTGCATGGCAAAGGCTTTATCACAATCTACAGCTGGAAGTGCCAACAAATCTGTGGATCTTAGCATGAAGTTTCCATGATAAGTTGTGAAGCGAACACCTGAGAATATAGGCAATGATCATCAATCATATGTGATTGTGCATATATGTTTATTCCATTATATGTTTAATCGTATACAACCATTGCATGTAACGGTAAACAAACAAAAGTAAGCAAACAATGTAAGTATCTCCAAAAACAAAATAAATGCACAAACCTTTTGCACATCTAATACGCATTACAGCTTCCCATGCAGTCTCTCTAGTGAGGTCTCTCCTTAATTCATGACTCAATTTCTCTCCATGAATGGCTGATTGGAAAGCTGGATAGTAACTCACTTGACCAGCAGTGTACTTTGCCAGAGTTCCTACACAAACAGTAAAAATAATGCATTGTTTACTTCAAGTATAACATCATTAGCATGGAACACTATATGCTTAGACAACCACAAATGCTGACAAAATCATACCAAACAGAATGACATTGGGGCACAGCCTCACAGGAATACATTATTTACAGATATAACAGCTACAATCAACACATAATTTGTGGATTCTTTTTGAGCATTTACAAACCAGTTCATTGCCAAATAGATCCATGAGTTAGAGTGTTATACTCCATACATCTATAGTCACAATGCTGTCAGGGGAGAATATGGAAATCATTCAATTTAAGTTTATTCAACTGTTAAAGTATGAATTAATTACACAAAATAGATCGCTTAACGGACCAACTAAGTCGTCTGGTCAAGTAAAAATGCAGGTCACAAACTCATGGCTTCAAGTTATAACATAAAACAATGCAACAAGCCCACAGCTAAAGAATCATCAAATATATCAATCAGAAATCTTTAAAGTTCTAATCCAGAGCAACAGGTTTAACACTAGAATCGAATGCTGAAATACGTAGAAATTAAAGGGAGAGAGAAAATACCTAAGGAGGCTATGTCAGTGTACTTATCACTGAATGCATACACATTTACTGATATTTGGTACTTAGAAAACTCAGCAGCCATTTGCTTATAAAATGGATCTTCGGGCAGTCTCTGTCCATGTTCTTTATCTGTCCCATAAACCCGAGAATCATCTCCCCGTAACCTCAAGCGACCAACACCGAGAGATGGAAGTGTGTTTTGAAAAATTAACAATTTCCCTCCAAGTGTACTCTGCACAGAGGCATGAAAAGAACATAACAGAGGAATGCATAAGAAAATGGAATTGTTAAATGCACAGGAAAAAAAATGTACTCAAAAGTCAACAAATTCAAGGAGAATACTAATACTTAATAGTGTTCTCTTAAGGTTTGATAGCAATAGATCCCTCCATTCTGCAAGGAGTACAACTAGCTTCTCTATGGCTTATCTAATTTATTCAGTGACTATGATATTTAAGTGTACCCGGCAAAGTGTACCCAGCAAAGCCCCTATGGCCACATGTGGAACTTGGAATTCAGCAAGGTATTAAAAGAATATGGAAAGTTCGGGCACGCACTTAGTTGTTTTAACACAAGTAAAATTGTTTATTAACAGAACCAGATCACATTTGAGGGACAATCTTCACTAGAAAAAGAATGTCTTCCGACCAGTATCACTATTGATGTGATTATAAGTAAATAGATCAAGAAAGTATGAAGGAAATGCATCTCCTCCCTATGGCCATGCATTTCAGAGCATGGTCCCTCCCTCCACCCAGAATCACCCCTCGATCTTCCTTCGGTCATATTATTTATACCCTATCAATAAAACTTGGTTTGCGTTTTCAACACTCAATATCCCCTGTAGATCATAAAAACTAATCTAGTCAACTATAATATGAATTCTGATTCAAGTAATAGAAATTTATATCAAATGCATCAGGCGGGCTAGCAAAGGAACTTATGATTTAAAAAATCACCACAAAAAGGTAATTATGATAATACCATAACCATGAAAGCAGCCTTAAGAGCAGGACCAAAAGCTGATTCCAGATTAACATTATCTTGAAACATAGTTGGCAAACTATCTAGGAAGGCTTCCACCACACTTCTTGACTCAGATAAGTTAACAAGAAGATCATCTGGGAGCGGAATAAATATGTCATCCAGATCTGAGACTACAAACATCTGAGGTTGATTCAAGGTTGACTGCAAAAGAATTATACACAGAATGTTTAGTACAAATCATGAACAAAGGAGGGAAACATAGACACGTTAACAGTGGTAATGCATTATTGCTAATAGTACTACAAAGTACAAACCTTCAAGTTATAAAAATGAATAGTGCTGTCAAAAGTTGCAAACCCTATTTGTGTTCGTGGAAAGCCAGGCAGCTCGTCTAAGCAGGACTTGATTGTTTGGGCTGCAACCTGAGTTAAGAACAATAACATCAGAAATCAAGAAGACATGTGCCTAACATCTTCAACTTTTCATATACCATTTTTGCTTATATTTTCATTCCAGAGGAAGTATTGTGTAAACCCATATGCAAAATGCATTCTATAACCCAAAGTGCACAAGAGAAAAATGTTTACCGAGAAGTTACTGTTACTTCCAGAAATTTTCATTTTTGAATATTGACTTTTACGTATATTTGTATGAATTTGTCTCTGCAATACCTAAGCATAACTCTTCCTGGAAGATTACTTTTAGTAAACAATCCCCAATAAAATTTGTGTTCTAAAAGTTTTTCCATAAAAATTACACAACATGCTTAAAATGCATAATATGCAATGCAACCCCCAAGTGCGCTTAAGAAATAAGCTCCACCAATTATTGAGTTCCAGCTATCATTAAATTACACAAAGAATGGGGAAGTTTCAAATAAAATGAGTTCCAGCTATCATTAAATTACACAAAGAATGAAGAGTTTTGAATAATTAAAATCATCTAAAAGATCACACTTGTTCACCTTTAAAGGGTGAATTCAAGCCACAAGGCTACCTGACCACAAAAAAAAAATCATCTAAAAGATGTGTAAAAGTTCCATGAAAATGAAAAACATATTAATGAGCGATTCGGCACACAGACCACTTCTATAAATAAACTTGTATGAAACAAAATACATTAGAACTTAACTCACGTAACTCTTGCCTATGGCTTATGGTCGCCGAAACCAAATTTTATCAAACATGTATCTATAAGGATCATGAGTCTTTCATTCCCACCAAAAAATTAAGGCCATACGTACATTACACAGCCTATAGGAAAAAGATCATCTATTTTTTTCATGAAAAAATGTGAAAATTCTAATGACTGAGATTTGGTATGCACTACAAGCTATACAGTGAGCCAGAAACAAGTGCTTACCTCAATCATGCCACTTCTAACTGCAGATATAGAAACATCAATGAGGAAGAAATATACTGGGGGCATAGGAGGCCGCACCATATATTCCGCAGGGGCAACAAATTCTACTGTACCCTGTGTAAGCTCGGGTCGCTGATTTAGATCAACTCTTTTTCCAGTGGCATCTAACTGTGCATAATATTCACTAGGAACTGCATATAAAACTCAATAGATTAACATCTTAAGTACGGGACAACTGACATGAATATACAGAGTCAGAAAAGTCAGAGAACAAGTTTAGCCCCATGACACAATACCATCATCCACATTATATAGTGAAGAAAAAACAAACTCTCGGCATTCTTTTACCACGTGTCCTTTTGGGCGTATCCAATAAAATGCAATGATACAGAAATTGTTGAATTTTCAGATCCTCTAAGAAAGTCTTAGTAATTGAGACTTGATTGCTACCATTTTCTTCCATAATGACTTCTCAGTTACAACTTATAAGGCAAAAAAACAAGGTTATGCGAGTAAGAAGTACCATCATTAAGCAAGGTGCATACATTGCACCGGTACTTTCTTCCAGCTTCTGTAAATGTCACATAAGGATTCACATATGTCCGACATCTTCTGCAGCGTACAACACTAGCTGGAGCAAAACTAATTATCGGCACCTCTTCCTGAAAACAAATAGTGGTGAACAAAGGCAAATAAGATGACTGGTAAGCTACTGCTCATCAAACAGACAAAAAGAGGCACTAACCCCATCGGGAGATTCAGCAAGTGGACATACAACTGCTCCAAGAGGCAGATGCCACCTTGAAGCTAAAGACTGGGAGCTAGGAATTGCACTGGTAGTGAATCGCATATATCTAGGATTGCAATTCATGGGATAAATCTCCGCCAAATTCTTCGGCTCCACATCACCATCCAATGGCCTTGGAAGATCTTTAGCATCAAATATTGCATCCATTGTTCCAGGACGAGTTTGCATTGAGAGCGAACTGAAGTCTTCTGTCAAGCCCTGAATGGCACCAGGAGGGGGTGCATATCCTGGTTGCTGTGTTGGCTGGACTCCTATTGGAGTAGCCACCGGGAGTGATGAAGCATAGCCTCCTTGATGAGGTGCAAAGGGAGATGGTGCTGCAGGTGGTGCGGGTCCGTAATTTCTTTGATTTGCATGAATAGAGGAATGTATAGGTGGAGCTTGCATTTCAGCACCAGGCTGCATACGGGCATATCCAGGAACAGATGGCTGAAATTGAGAAGGAACATTTGAACCCATAGGTGGAGACCCCATTTGAACATAAGGCATCGGCTGCTGGGGAGGAAGAGATGAAGGAAAGGGAGGTACTTGACTTGCATGTTGATGAATTGATGGCTGTCCCAAGGGTGGAGCCCGTGTGAGAGGAGGCTGAACAGTCGACGAAAAGGGAGGTGGTGTAAAATGCTGGAAAGGTCCAGAACCTGGCGCTTGCGGAACATTGGATGATGGGAGAGGAGGAGGAACTGATGGGCCATTGAACCTGCCCGGCGGTGTAGGTCTAAAACTGGGTGCCCCTGGTCTAACAGCAGGTCCAGACGATGAAAACGGTGTGGCCACTTGGGGAGGTACAGGAGGAGTGGGCTGGAAAGAAGGAGGCTCTGATCCAGCCACAGGACCCATCGATGAAAAAGGTGTCGTAGTCTGTGCAGCCGCAAACGGCAAGGAATTAGGTCTTGAAGGGAAGTTTGGATGACCCGGATTTTCAGTCCCCATAGATAGATTACACAACAATCCAAATCACTCAGCTTTTTTATTTTCAAAACATTTGTTCCGTCACCAAGCCTGTTAAAAAACAAACAAAACAACACAATCATAGATACAGGAGAATCAACAAAATGCTTAACAATTCAGACTTCACAACGCAGTTTCGACCAACATAATCATCACAACTCAAATTAATCAGAATTTCAGAAACCCTTCCGATCACTTTTCCCCACTCAACTAAACTTAGATAGCTTATCCTACACAAGTTAAAATTGGTAAACAACACTACAATACATGAAAAATAACATGCGTAGTAACAAGAATTATAATAAAACAGAGAATTGAATCAACTTAAACAAAAAAAACAAAAAAAGCAAAAGAAGAGTAACCAGATTCATATGCATACAGAATAATTAGGGTTATGAATATAAAAATCAATTAGTATCAGGTTCCACACCGAGTTGGGATCGAGGAAAATCGGAAGAAGTTGAAATTGAGATTAAGACTCACCGAGTTCGGATCGGAGATGCGGATAGTGAATCGTCGGATGTAAGATTTGGCGGTAGGACCTATGCTCAAGAAGAGAAAACAACACTCTCCCAGACTCACAGGGAGGATGGAAGGTGCTGGAAACTGTTTGGCGATCAAATAAGCGTGGAGAGTGGTGGTTCCGGCGGAGTTCTCGACGGCGGCGATAGAATAAACGCGTCACCGGCGACCTAGATGATAGATCTCTGTATAGTATTCTACACGACAGTAGTAAATAAACTCCTTCGATTCAATTCAGTCACAAAATTGAGATAGATGGATCATAGATGTGAAAATTCATCCTAATATTAAAAAAAAATAGGGAAAAAAGCTAACCTATATTTTCTTGAATGTGTATTTAATGTTTTGAAAGTTTAAATATGATTTTATAATGTTTTGAAAGTTTAAATATGATTTTATTATAATTAATTATATTTAATTTTTTTTAATTATAATATTTTTAAGATGTATTCTAGTATGGCCCTTTAAAATGTTATATTTGATTACATAAGATTTGATTTTTATTCATTTTTTTATTAATCTATAATTATGTTTTGTTTTAAAAGTAATAATAATATATAATTATATTTTGTTAAAAAAATCAATACAATTTTTTATAATTTTTTGTTTGGCTTTCTACAATTTTGTATATTTCTATTACATTAATAATTTAAAATTAATTTTTAAAATATCTTTAAAAATATTTATTTAATATTATTTGATTTGATATATGATAAACGTTATATGCGTCGTATTTATTGCTTGTTTTATTTTCGCTTTCTTAAGTGTTTGCATCGTTTTAGTTCTATTTTATGTGTTTTTGTCTTCATCTTCCTGCAGTAGAGTTTGTTTTCATAAGAGTTGGAAGATTTGTATTGTGTTTTTTCAACGTATATTTCTATTTCCCCAAAGCAGGGTTCATGTTGTTATCCCCTTAGTGGATTATTGATGTTACAAAATTGTGCTTGGTTGTTTTCCAAGCATTATCTTCCTCTCTCTCAGAGAGTTAGGCTTTGTAGATGGACCGTGTTCCTTCAGTAGCTTCAGATTTTATCTCCAACAGGATCTCCATGTTGTTGAGAATTGGCTGAGTATCTAGATGAACTATGATGTTTGGTCATCCCCAGTTAATATGTGTGTTTGTTTTGTCAGCATTGTCGTACCCCAAATTTCCCCTATCTTTTTTACTTTTGTCTGGTTTTGAACTTTGCATCCCGTTTGCACCATTTTCACTCAGTCATTTACATATCCCGCATCTCATGGAATCAGGCGCTTTGGTTTGAGGTATTAGGGTTGCGCCCTCTTTATGTCTAATTTTATTTTGAAGTTCTCTTATCAGGTAAAAGGGAAATGCATCTGGTTCTCGATTAGTGGATCGTGGAATGAATGTTGTCATCACGTTATAAGGTTGATTCTCGCTTGAGTTTATCAAAGCTTAGATTAGGGTTTATTTCCCTATTTGTTGGCCAAGATGCTAGGGTTTTTGGATCCCTAGTTTCTGTGAAGATGTTTCTTTCGCTTGCCTCAAAGATGGCTCAAAGTTCAGTACATTAGGTCAAGGAGTTCATCTCCTCTCATTTCAAGCCTTCTTTTTAAAAGTCTCCAAGTTATTGATTCGAGAGTTTGAAGTTTAAGTTGGCGATTGTGGAGTTTGGGCACAAGAAATAAGCTTGGGGGTTCATGACCGTCAAGGCATGTTTTGGTTGCTTAAGTTACAAGTTACTTGTGATGTGAGTCTCAAAGTTAAAGTTCTGTTTAAAAGTGCAAGTTTGGTTCAGGCGTGATATGAAGATTAAGGTTTAAGTGACAGTTGTTTTGGGTTCGAATTAACCAAGGGGAATTAAATTCTTAAGCATTTATTTTGTGCAAGAGTTTGATTGGAGTCTGGAAGATAAGGCACATGATTGTTTGAAATACAAGTTACAACAATTGTTCGCGATTTCTTGAAGTTTAAGTTATAAAGTCAAAGTGTGCATTCAAATTATTCAAGAGAGAATTTTGAAATTCAAACAAGATTCAAGAGTTATTCAATTTCTATACAACAAGGTTCATCATTAATAAAATGCATTCAAGTTTGTGCATTACATTTTGGGACAAGTTACAAAGCATGTTATGAATGAGAAATCACAAGTTATAATCGTTGTTTACAAAGCAAAAAGGAATTAAATGTTTATTCTTCAATTTTTGTTGCTTCCTCTTCAAGAAAATCGTCAACGTTCTGTGCTAGCCTCGGCCTTTTCATCTTACAACCCCGCTTGCCATCCAATACTCGTGCTCATGAAACAAGGAAAAGAGAAAATTAGCCAGCAATTAACATATGAAAAATTCCAAGCAAAAATTAATGGTTAAAAGAAATCTTTATGCTCATCATAAGGGTTGGTATTTGGAATCAGAGATTAAAAAGGGTTTATTTTTAATCATGAGCCATTTTCTCCCAATTGCAAATCACAAAAAGTTGTCCTCTTTGGTTCACAAAAAAGATAAAAGGAAAAATTGCAAACGTTTTCTTGTTGCTAAAGCAAAGCACAAAGCTGCCACAAACAGCTAGTTAAACAGGCAGCAAAACAAGTAGCAAAACAAATAGCAGAACAGCAAAATAATAGGCAGCAACAGGCCAAACATAACAGCGCATCACAAGGTTGCAAAGCAAAGCAGCCAAAGCCAAATGCATCAAAGGAAAAAATAGCATAGCAGCAACTCACAAAACAATGCAAGCTATCAAGTAGCTCACAACATCCTATTGTGCCATCATGTTCCTAAAAAGTACCAACCCTTCAGAAATATTAGAGAAAAAAAGCAGATGTGCTTTACATCATTGAAAGAAATCAGAGGGAAAGAGATAGGGTTTAGAAAGATGTCACCCAGAGCATAATAGTCCAACAACATGTCAAAGTCAGCCCTGCACTTTGTGCAAAAAATTTGTCCAACCTGCATATAAACACCAAATAAAACAGGCCAAATTTGCACCAAAATAGGCATACCCAAAACCTGCATCCTAAAAGTCACAAGGTCAGCAAACCAGTTATTTTTTTAATCATATAACTCTTCCCTCCAATTCCCACTTGTTTTTCAATATAAAGAAAGGTCATTATTCCATAGAAAGGGCAGGGGCAACGAGCCAAAAAACCAGAGCGAGAGACACAGCAAGCAAAACCAAGAATACAGAAAAACCATCAACACAAAAGAAAAACTAAAAACCAACAAAACCCAATAGCATACAACCAACAGCATCTCACCAGCTGACTTTAACACACCCTTGCTACTACCTTCAACCTCACTCAATCCAACATTTAACTAACCTGTAAAACCTCTTCAATAAACAAAATACCACAATCATCATAAACCATTCTCATAGTAATCAATGACAATCGCAGAATAAAGAAAAAACTTGGAGCTATGGATGCACGAAGAAGCGAAAACAAGAAAGTGGAGAATAGCAATGTACATGTCCTCTGAGGGAATTTGAGTAATAGAGGGAGCGAGAGCGGAAATTCCACATCAAGCTTCAAAAATCATCATCATCATCCGCGGAGGTGTCGAAATTATCGAACTTGCTCCGAGTATGTAAGTTCTTCCCTTCTCATACATATCTTTGCCATTGTGATTGTTTTTGTTGTTTACCGTCAAGACATAAATCGTGAACCGTGAGAGTGAGTAAGCTGGAATAGTAGAGTTTCGTTGTTGTGATTGAACAGTAGAGTTAGGTTTCGTTGTTGAACCGAGTTGAGATAGGAAGGAGGATTGTTGTGGTTTATAGGGAATTGGTCTTGCAAACTGAGATGAGAAGCCAGAGAGAGTAGCGATTGAGAATTACTTTTTTTTTATTGTTGAGCAATGAGAGTGAGAGATGAAGGAAGGTTGAAGTCCAACGGCGCTGTGAGAGAGATGAAAGGAATTGAGAAAGAATAGAGAAAACAGGGGAAGCGTTAGAAAGGGGTGATGGATGACAATTAGGGTTTCCCACCCATTTTGTTTCTCAAGAGGCCGCTGGGTCCGGACCTCCCTGACCCGGTCCGGTCCAGCACGTTTTTATATTTTTTTTTGTTTTTTTTCTAATTTTATCTTGTAATCTTTTTTTTCATACAATTTTTGGGCCTTACAAAAAAATTGTTTTATCCTTCAGCACATCGAAAATGCTAGATATACCACCCTTTTGCCAGCAGCACCTGCAAGCTCAAATTTTGTATTTTTACTTCTTAATTGTATATTTTTATTTATTTGATACAAAAACAAAATGATCATTATTTTCTTAATTAAGTTATAATATAAAACCACAAAAATATATACTTTTAGAATTAGATTTTAATTTCCTTTCAATATTTTCTTTACCTAAAAAATCACAAAAAAATAATGTTAGAATATTTTTCAAGTTAGGTTCTAATTTACTTTTAAATTTATTGTTTATTTAATTTGATAAAAATACCAAAATATTAGAATTAAGGTTTAATTTTCTTTACTAGATAAAAATCCAAAAACATTTA